TTACATATCTGGACTACCTGTTTGAATATCTATATTATTGGGACACACTACCTGTTTCAATATCTATATTAATGGGACACACTACTTGTTTGATTATTTATAATATTGGGACACACTACCTGTTTGAATATCTATATTATTAGGACACACTACCTGTTTGAATATCTATATTATTGGGACACAATACCTGTTTTAATATTTATATTATTGGGACACACTACCTGTTTCAATATTTATATTATTGGGACACACTACCTGTTTCAATATCTATATTATTGGGACACACTTCCTGTTTCAGTATCTTTATTATTGGGACACGCATACCTGTTTCAATATGTATATTATTGGGACACACATCCTGTTTCCATATCTATTTCATTGAGACACACTACCTGTTTAAATATCTATATTATTGGAACACACTACCTGTTTGAAAATTTTTATTATTGGGACACACTACCTGTTTGAATATCTATATTATTGGGACACACTGCCTCTTTGAATATCTATTTCATTGGGACACACTACCTGTTTAAATATCTATATTATTGGAACACACTATCTGTTTGAATATTTATATTATTGGGACACACTACCTGTTGCAATATCTATATTATTGGGACACACTACCTGTTTCCATATATATTTTAATGGGACACACTACCTGTTTCAATATCTATATTATTGGAACACACTACCTGTTTGAATATTTATATTATTGGGACACACTACCTGTTTCAATATCTAGATCTAGATCTCTGGACAAGGTTCCTTCACCCTCACTACTCGAAACTATCAATATCCAACAAATCAACAAATCTCTCATTTTATCTTTAAAATAATCTCAATATGTAGATAGTTTGCATATTTGTTTGTTTGTTTATTTGCATGCAATAAACTTCAAAACGGTGGATCTGATTGGTCCCACATTTTTGTGGAAATTTTGTCCGAAAATTAGCAAAATGTATTATTTATGAAAATGCAGCAATTTAACACAGAAAAAGTGACACAGTAATGGATGAAATAATGAAAATTAATCACTTTTCAAGCTAGGAAAACAACGATATCTTCCACATTTAAAGGGAACCGTTGTGAATCGGATATAGCCCTTCTTAAATGGAAGTTTACTTAAAATTACTGCAGCTGTCCTTTTAACGCAAAAAAATGCATTTTACAACAAAAAATATATAACTGAGCTGTGTATTTGTATATACTGTACTGGGTTCTGAGAGTAAATGGTAACTGAAGTCATCAGACTAACCTTTTATATCTACTTTCTTTTATACACGTGATAACAGGTTTATAGAGATAACAGTGTGTTAAATTAGGTTTTATTTAATAAATAATAGAAATTTTTGGCTTAAGAAAATATTAATAATTCTCAATTTTTCTTCTTTGGATTTCAAAGAAATAAGTTGTATAAAAAGTATATTTTTGTGTTATAAATATTTATTTTTTCAAAAGCTAATAGATTGAAGCCAGATATACGGAGAATTCCTGTGAAACAACATTTACAACTAAGTTATCACAGATTAAACATTGATCAATGGTTTGTTAGTTCCTTTACATTCGTTCTTCTTAATTTGTTTAATTGTTTGTTGCTTCTACTGTTTTTGATCTATATCTTCATTGTTCTTATCTTCTTCTTTGTTAGTGTGTTTGTTTGTTTGTTTGTTTGTTTGTTTACTATTTATATTTACATACTCCTCTGCCGCTTTGGTAATGGTAAATTGGCGGTACAGTCCAAACTAGGACCGCAAAGGTTGGCCCAGCTAGGATATTCAAATGTACACCGGTTGTGCGTGATTTATCCATGAGTTAAGTTATTAACTGGTTAAAATATCGTTTTTTGTTACATAACTGATTGAAAGTAGTCTATTATTTAAATCTAGTTTAAAATTAGTTTGTTGTTAAATCTGATTTTAAAGTAGTTAGTTGTTGTATCTGATTTTAAAGTAGTTTGTTGTTATATCTAGTTTAAAAGTAGTTTGTTGTTGTATCTAGTTTAAAAGTAGTTTGAATTGTTTATGTCTAGTTTAAAAGTAGTTTGTTGTTTATATCTAGTTTAAAAGTAGTTTGTTGTTATATCTGGTTTAGAAGTAGTTTGTTGTTATATCTAGTTTAAAAGTAGTTTGTTGTTTATGTCTAGTTTAAAAGTAGTTTGCTGTTTTATCGGGTTTAAAATTAGTTTGTTTTTATGTCTGTTTTAAAAGTTGTTTGTTGTTATATCTAATTTAAAAGTAGTTTGTTCTTATGTGTGGTTTAATAGTATAGTTTGTTGTTACATATCTGATTTAAAAGTGGTTTTTTGTTACCTACCTAGTTTAAAAGTAGTTTGTTCTTATGTGTGGTTTAATAGTTGTTTGTTGTTACATATCTGGTTTAAAAGTAGTTTGTTCTTATGTGTGGTTTAAAAGTAGTTTGTTGTTACATATCTGATTTAAAAGTAGTTTGTTCTTATGTGTGGTTTAATAGTAGTTTGTTGTTACATATCTGATTTAAAAGTAGTTTGTTCTTATGTGTGGTTTAATAGTAGTTTTTTGTTACATATCTGATTTAAAAGTGGTTTGTTGTTACATACCTAGTTTAAAAGTGGCTTGTTGTTACATATCTGGTTTAAAAGTGGTTTGTTGTTACATACCTGGTTTAAAAGTGGCTTGTTGTTACATATCTGGTTTAAAAGTGGTTTGTTGTTACATATCTGGTTTAAAAGTGGTTTGTTGTTACATATCTGGTTTAAAAGTGGCTTGTTGTTACATATCTGGTTTAAAAGTGGCTTGTTGTTACATATCTGGTTTAAAAGTGGTTTGTAGTTACATATCTGGTTTAAAAGTGGCTTGTTGTTACATATCTAGTTTAAAAGAAGTTTGTTGTTACATATCTGGTTTAAAAGTGGTTTGTTGTTACATACCTGGTTTAAAAGTGGCTTGTTGTTACATATCTGGTTTAAAAGAAGTTTGTTGTTACATATCTGGTTTAAAAGAAGTTTGTTGTTACATATCTGGTTTAAAAGAAGTTTGTTGTTACATATCTGGTTTAAAGTAATTTGTTGTGATATCTGGTTTAAAAGTGGTTCGTTGTTTGTTGCTCCATGAATACAAAGCCCGATTATTAACATTAAAACATATTTCTGATATTAAAATTTTTTTTCTTTTAACCGTTTATTTTCATTTGTGGTTTCTTTGCGAAAGTGACTTATGCATTTCTTGATTTTAAGGAGCAAGGGGGAAAATTAAAGAAATAAACACTGTTCGAGTCAGAAAAACGACGGTATCTTCCACTTTTTTGTCAGATTAAGGTTTCATGGCGGTCTTTGCATTGAGGGTCCCTTCCAATTACGCTTACTGTACCTTTTCTACAGTATCTATTGCTACTCCTATTAAAAGTTTATCCCTTTAGCCATGGTTAGAAGCAATCTCCTATGAGTATGATTTACAACAAGAAAGATATTTCTTAAGACTGGATTACTACAATTACATACATTTTTACCCACAAAGGACATGAGACTGTAAAGACGACCTAAACCTCTTCAAATATGATGATCTCACTAGGTTACAGTACAGTACAGTTTACAGTACAGGAAATCAGGAAAATAAAGAAACAGAAAGAATAAAGTTTCATCCTTTGTGGATAAGGGTGGATGTGTGACGTTTTATACGAATAATTATGTTTACGTAATAAAAAAGTCTGTAATTATCTTGTTTTATGAAGCTTCAGAATTAAAAGAATTGTGGGGTTTAAAACTTGAAAGCATGAGGCTCTAAATATTATTTTTGTGGTTCATGAGCGTTATCTCTCTCTCCCTCAGCTAGTTTTGTTAATTGTTTTGGTTCGCAAAAAGACACAGTTCAAAACACGGTCATTTTTGCGCTGCATCACAACCCACAGGACAGACCATTTTCTAGATATTCACGGGGATAAATATTTATTTGATGCATCAAACATGTACGTAACAATATTTATAATACGAGGTTTAACCACATTAAGTTAACATTCATCTTAGAATTTAAGAATTCTGAGCAAATTAACAAAAATACAAATACAGGCGAGAAATATCGTGTAAAAACAATTCCATTGTGACGGGGGGGGGGTTACATGTGCTAGATAGCTCGCTATTACGCGACATAGGCGCATGTTCAAATGCGTATTTACATGCAGATTAAGTGCGTAGTGTACATGATATATATATATATATAGGGCATATAGGGCATGCATTGTGTACATATTTTGAAATCCTTGTCAAAAAGTTGGATTATGTTCTTTAAAAAATTCAGCCATAATTTTGTTCTTTAGATCTAAATTGTGCTAAATACAATTCAAAAATACGTTCATATATATAGGCTATAAAAAGGCAATTTTTAATTTTTAATCATTAATTTTGCATACTTTATTTTTTTTAATTCCCCTGAGCCCCTCCCACAATCGATGACTTTGATTTCTTTTAACATATAATTTAGCATAAAGCTTTTAGCACTTTTGATCAGTATTACAATTTTGATAAATATATTGTTAAGTTGCATTAAATGTAGTGCAAGAAGGCCACGTTTAGATCAATTATTTGAAATATATTCACCATTTTGTCCACATTCATCGTCGTATATATCAATATAATAGAAGACGACTTTCGATTAAAATTTATTGTTTCTACCAAGCTTTCAAACAGCATGGATACACATAAACATAGAAATAAAGAGATGCTGCCCATTAACGGCTTTTCTTTAAAAAAAATGTTAGAAAAGAAAAGTTGAATACAAAAGTCGTATTCATTGTATTGATATAAACATCTACAACAATACATAAATACATTCTAGTGCCAACTGTGGAACCAAATATAGATTTGGCCGAATTATTGTATGTCTTCATTGAAATTTACAGAAAGGATTAAAATGCAGAGAGCCCCGAAAAAACATGGGAAATGATTAAAAGTTTAAGATTGCGTGGTTAAGGTTAAACAACGTTAAAGTTTGAGTTAAAATCATTATTTTAAATGTTTAAATGTTAAATGTTTTGTATCTAAAACTTAAAAATTCAAATACGTTTTGTTTCTATATTTTTAGTAAAATATGACCTTAAGTTTCTCACATTCCCATGATTATTGGAGCTCACTGTAAAAAAATAACAACAGAGAAAAAACTAAAATTTTCGAGACTAAAGATTAATCAACATCAGCATCATATTGATACCATTTACATTACATTAGGGACTATCGAGTACATAGCAGTGCAGTACAACTGTGGTTTAGTTAAGTTCGCTGTACAATAGAATTTATGTACGATTAAAGGTTCACAGTGTGCACTGTACAGTGTACAACAAAAAAGGTCAGAGCCCAAAATTTAAGACAGGGTATCGTTATGAAAACCAGTTTTGGAATTCAAGTTTCACGAATGGATTTAGGCAGTTTTTGAATATCAATACTTTTGTTATGAAATATTATTTTATTTAGTTTCTTCATATTCTCCATTTTTTTCGAATCTCTTAAATCAAAATCTACACAAATATTAAGACCCCCCAAAAGGAAACTGGAAGGTTTCGTTCAACGATACTCTTTTAAATTTTGGACTCAGATATGCTCCCATCCAATTCAATTGTACTGTTACTGTGTATGCTGTACTGTATGCTACAAGCTTGATGATTGGGTATACAGTACATAATTGATTTTAAATCTGCCTATATTAGCTCTGTGACTTGTTTTTAAAACTGTTTAGGTTGCAGTAAGGAGACCTAGTATAAAAGTTCTAAAAAAATTCGTTGATTTGTTCACGTTTAGGTTTGATTCCTAGATTTAGTTCTGCTCTTTGTAAATTCCCCGGTAAATGGTTAGAATATAAAAACAATGATTGCACATCTCTCATGGCTTTCATCTAGATAATTGGATTTACCCTGCTGCAGGGGGCAGAGGGACAGCAGTTTCAAAACCAAAGCTAGAAATTTTTTGAACAAAACTAGCCTTAACAATTTGCGTGCTTGAAAAAAATCATAACCCGCCAACTAAACTCTAAATGCGCAAAATTTCGAGAATGCTCAGCGGCATTGTATGCTAATGTCGTCTTCATCCCTGAACAAAACAAGATATTATGCAATTGTTAAGAAAAAATTGCTTTAAAAAAATTCTATCCATTTTACGCGCCCGTTATAAATCTTTAGACTTTTAGGGAAATTCACTTCAAGCTAACAAATTATATCAATCAGAAGACAATAAATCCGATTGTGGCTAAGGGGAGATGTTATATGGGTCACTTTGTGCAAATAAAGCCTCAAATTATAAGTTGTGGATTAGCGCTATTTACACAAGTTCTGACCTCTGTAGATTTTTTTACAGTTTTGTGTAGAAAGATTAAACTAATTGCTTTAGGTAAAGTAGGTTCGAGTCTATGTGAATTCAGCACCATCTCTGATTTCTTTTAAGAATATACCTACATAAAAATAGACCTATAAGAATAGACCTGTAAGAATNATAAGAATAGACCTATAAGAATAGACCTATAAGAATAGACCTATAAGAATAGACCTATAAGAATAGACCTATAAGAATAGACCTATAAGAATAGATCTTTAAGAATAGACCTATAAGATTAGACCTACAGAGCGTCCCATATCATATTAGATTATCTCTAATCTTTAACGACAAAATAAACCCTTAATACTCGAAAAACTTATCATTTTCCGCAAGAAAATTCTTATATAAGCCTTATGTTATTTTTCAAATTGATTCATTCTAATTTAATTTTCTTATTAGTCCCGAAAATCTCAATTTAGACCCGTTGACGGTCTAATATGATGTGGGACACCCTGTATATAAGAATAGACCTTTTTAAGAATAGACCTATAAAAGAACAAACCTATATTAGAATATACATATATAAGAACAGACCTTTATTAGAATAAACCTATATAAGAATAGAATTATATTAGAATAGACTTTTTAATAATAAACCTTTATAAGAATCAACCTTTAAAAGAATAGACCTTTCTAAGAATAGACCTATGATAAGCTAAAAAATGTCCGAAAAATCTAAACATTCCCCCTAAAGAGACAATGGCTATTACATATAAAGACCAATAATTCCAAGTTGAATTGAGAAGTATAACATATTGTATTTGAATTCAATTTAATTTTGATTGGAAATATTGATCTTGCAAACTCCAATTCCAAACTATCGAGTTTCTTGATTTAATGTTCATTATCTTGAATTCATCTAAGGCGCAAACTGTTGTAAAGAAGAGGGGGGGGGGTCGACCCAAAAGTCTAATTTTGCGGATATTCTGTACTTGCAGAGACTGTAGTCTGTAGAACAGTAGGACCCAAACATTAAGAATGAAACTGATCCAGACTAAGATATGATTTATAAATCCATTGTTTTGCAAAGCCAAAACAAGACTAAACAATATTTTTACAAAAAAAATCAAATAATTTAAGCACATGAAAAATTCTTTTAATAACTTCTTATTATAGTTTGTGAAAATACGTTATACATTTTTTAAAAGAATTGGAAATTTTCTTTAAATTTAATGCAATATGATCAGTGCGCTTTAATCGAATCTAAGCGTAAGCAAAAATTAGAGCATGTTTTTTTCTTCAGCAATATCTCAAGTCCTAACTGAATGCAGTGTTCTGAATTTTGGCAACTGAAAATTTCATTTTGTTCCGAATAGTTTTTTCCTAATTTCCTAATTTTTTGAAGCTGAATCTTAATATTGAAAGATGTCCCTGAAGGCTAGAATTCGATCGATATTTTTCTGCTAAAAATGATGTGATTGTCAGAAAAATTTAGTTTCTTCCAAATTTTCCTAAAATAAAAAAAAATCTAATTCAAAAAAACACATTTCACTTAAATAATAATACATCTTTAATCCTTTCTGAAATTTTTTAAAGTTCGCGAATTCTTTAAGACACTCTGCGTTATATAAGTGTTATCTTATAGTTTTTCATATTTTTAAAGTTTAACTCCAGGGACAGGACAGGGCAAATTCATAATCCGAAAATGACGTTTTAATATTTTTGATTAGCAATGGACTCCTAGAAAATAAGAAGGCAAGATTTTTGCCCCCAGGGGAGTTCTGTAAATAAGGCATCAAAAGGCAGTGCGCCAATATAGGTAATACGACTGTGCATAAAAGCTAATATATACAATTCCATATTTTCCGCAAATTTGATTTAGAAAATCTAACGCGTCAGCTTTCCCGATTTTTTCCAGTAAAATTCCGGATTTTGCACATATGTAACTCCTACAAGATTTTATGTAGCTTTGCTGAGTTACGAACTATGCATTATTACAGATGAATTTGATTCATGATTCCTAATTGAATTCATAAAGTATTGCGAAATTTTTGCACTTATGCGTCCCGCATTGACTCCATGAACAAAGAATTTCGAAATTTTCTTTTTTATGACATTAAAAAAGTATTAAGATGACAATTTTTTTACTTAATTTCGAGAAAATTTGCGTTAGACATTTCAATAGCAAATTTGCAAGGAAAAGGTGGATGCTATAATGCTACTTTTTATTTTGCTCTGAGTGATTGCTATTTGCTTGATCGTTAATATATTACATTATCTATATTTGATCTGCTATCAGCTATCCTCTAGCTGCTTCTGCATATCTGCTAACTGCTATTTATCTCCTTGTTTAGTTTCTATATCTGCTAGGAACGGGTGACAATCAAAGTTTGAAATATCAAAGGTTTACATAATTTGGTTGTAGATATATAGGTATTAGAAAATTAGGATTTGTTGCAAAGACTCAATTCCTTTGCAAGGAAAAGGTGGATGCTATAATGCTACTTTTTATTTTGCTCTGAGTGATTGCTATTTGCTTGATCGTTAATATATTACATTATCTATACTTGATCTGCTATCAGCTATCCTCTAGCTGCTTCTGCATATCTACTAACTGCTATTTATCTCCTTGTTTAGTTTCTATATCTGCTAGGAACGGGTGATTAAGGCATTGTGCAGGCGAGGCCCGTTTAGCGGGGTCTATACTTAACATTGGTAGAAGCCAGTCGGAAAACTCCTAAAATTAAAGAGAAGCTTTTGCGTTGTTCATTTTAAAAAGTGCCGTTAACTGTTGTCTGTTCACACCGGTTCCCTTTAAAGGGACTGTAAGCGTTGTGTCAATTGAATCTCCATGCAAAGATCGATTGCAAAGAACTCTGTTTGATTAATTTCTCTAAAATGTTCAAATTATCGGAACATTGAAGTGAAAGCTATCATACAGTGTGAACACAGTTAACGTTGCATATATTCCTCGATAATCCCGAATATTTGAAAATTAGAATGGAAATATTTATTTTCTGTGACTTCTAGAAAGTAGATATTAATATTTTTATAATATAAAAGAACTAGCAAGCATTTCCGGAGATAAATAAGGAAAATTCCGTCATCCTTGATCAATCAAAGATCAATAAGGAAAATTACTTGATCCTTGATCAATAAAAGATTCAACAAATAAAGGTTCACTGGAAATGTAGCCTACAGTTCCATTAAACTATAATAAACAAAAGAATGTTGGAAATATCTTCTATATAATATAATATAATCTCAAACACTTGAAGACCCTTTTTTCAAGAAAAAATCCTTGAATGCATAAAAACTATGCCCATCTTTATGAAAAACTATAATCATGTGGATTTACTCCTTTTTAAAGCTTAGAAATTAAAGAAAAAAAATGTTGTTTACATAATAAAGGAATTCAATCTTTGCCACAATAACTGATTTTTTAATAATTTTATTTTTGCAATTAAATGTCGGAGGCCTTAGATTGTTCAACTTATTTTACCATCAGGTTGCAAAGATTTAGGGATTTGAAAACCTGAATTTGTGGCAAAGACTCTATCCCTTTGTCTTAATTTTGATAATTTAACTTAAAATTTTGTGTTACCTTTGCCACTTTTGGATCCCAATCATATTTTTCTGTGAGTACGTCATAAACTGGCCACGGCTTTAGTTTGGTTATATGTCTCAGTTCTCCTGAAAAAAAGAATAGGTTAACATAAGTTTTGAAATAAAGTTAAATTTAAAATTTGAAAAACTGCATATTATAGTTAAAGATAAAATTTATGAATCAAATGCATGAATATTTATCTAAGCATATAAATAATGTCAAGTGAATGAAATGAACGTTAAAGAAAATAGAATCAGTAATTGGAGACTCGGCTTATACTGGATTTTTATTTATTTAGACAGTGCTGCCCGTAGAATACTAACTAGAGCTCTCAACTTTTCACAAATGGTTAAAACAAATGATCGAGCCCAGGCGGAAAAAAAAGAAAAAAAAATTTACAGTGAGGACAAGAAAACTCCGGAATTTTAAGACAACTGTAGACTCAAGTTATGACTTTAAATAGTTCAATAAACATTAACCACAGCAATATATATATAAATTAAGTAATTCAATAAGTCACTAGCAAAACCAAATAGATTAAAGTACAATAGGTGGCAACAGAGAAATGAACCAATTATACACAACGTCACAAGTGTCAAATATAACAAGGAAACCGAAATTGTCTCACATTAGTTGACATGTTTTCCAAGATTAAATAAAAAAGTGTACAAACAGAAACTATAGAACACATAAAATTGCACTTATTTTACTGTAAGATAAGCACTTTATTCTAAAATTATCACTATTATTGATAATTTTGTCGGATATATTATATATATATTTAAAGTAGCAATCTTTGTCCCAACTCATGAACACCTAGGGCCTATTTGCTTCAATTTTTTATCGAGGAAATCGTTAAAACCACGGGAATTTTCTTAACTTGGTTTAACATTTCTAAGTTAGATGAATACGGGATTAACTTGGTTTCTGGGCAAAATTATGTTCCCAAGAAAATCTCTGCTTGTCTGTTTGTTTGGATGTCCGACATTTATTTAAAGGGTCCGGTAACTTTAACTAAGTTGACAATTCCATTGACCTTCAGTGATCACACATCTATAATATTTTCAGTTTATTTTTTCAATACGTAAAACAATGAGGAGTCAAATAGTTTTGTATTCTATTCTTTTATACAAGATAAAAATGTTTGAAAATGCGTAATTTAGCAGTCCACGGGCGTCTGTATTCGATGAATTTAGTAAAAACTTCATGTTTAAAGAATATTTTCTGAAAACATTTACCTTAAACATAAAATTAAATAAAATCCATTGTTTTTTTCCTGAAAGAATTTGCAAGAATATTCACATTTCTCGGTAGTTAACCCGACTGTAGTCTGTAACAGTCATATACAAGAAATCTGAATAGGAGTTTATCCTGACAACCTTGAAATTATTAAACATGTGGAAATATTTCGAGCGGGTGGTAATGTCCGATTCACATTAGAACCCTTGATATCTTTATCTCATCAGTAATGTAAAAGATATTGTCGTTTAATGTTAATATTTTGTATATGTTAGCTCCTGCATTAGATATGCACATGTCACTTTTGTAGAGAAACCACAATTAAAAATAGTTAGTTTTTAAAATGATAAGTATTGATATCTAAGTCATACCTGACAAGATAAAGTTTATAAGAGTAACGTTGTAATTGTTAATTTAGCATTGCCATCTTTGCATCGAACACTCCCTTTAAATTTAGTTGGATAGGATTTTCTTTAAAATATTCAGTAGTTTTAAAATATTCTCAATCTTATTAAAAGAAATACTCAAATAAAAAGAGTAAAAAGAAATTCATTACAAGTTGTCGCTTTTCAATTTTTTTGAGTTTTCCAAAAAGCTGTCGTCTGTGCTATTCATTTTAATAGGAAACAGTGGCCAGGAATTATTGGTTCTAACTGTGATATATCTCTGAAAATGTTTAAATCAATGATTATCGAGAAGTTGTTTAACTAGAAACGGATAGCATAACTAACTCTGTAGTAAGTCTGAGAGTGTACACGAGACAAAGAAAAGAAATAAGTTTATAGCTGAAATATAAGGTAAGACGATACAAATTTTGTAGAGTCGTGTCTGAAGTCTCACCCTCCGCGGTTAACCCTTTACTAAATCCTGAGCGTTTTTCATTTCAATGAAAATAAGGTTTTCTATGGGAGAATAAATAAATCGCCAACAAGCACTCTTTTCGTACCAAGAAGGTATTTTAGAAAATTACAAATAATATTTTCCCAATAACAAGATAATACTTTTCTCATCGTGGGCCCTGAAATTACCTGTTGCCATTTCAAAGGCCATACATGCCGTGGACCATATATCTGCTGGAGGACCGTATCCGGCCCCTAGGAGAACTTCCAGGGCCCGGTACTGACGAGTTTGTATATCCTCCGTAAAATGATGATCCTTTAACAAGAAAATGATGATTATCTAATTCCAGATTTTCAAGTACTAATAAAAATAGGAGACTCTAGTTACCCTCAGGGGAATCGGATTTATTTGGTGTATTGTCCAATTTTGCTATCAATTAGACTTTATGTATACTGTACAACTTGAACTAATTGCTAAAATGTCAGCCCGGTTCTTGAAATGTGCCGGAGTTTTTAGTGAAAATCTCTGCTGTAAAAGAGTACGCATTTTATGCAGACGCAATAACGGAGAATCACTAATAATAAGAACGCATTGAGGACATTCATTGAGGACGCCCACTAAGGACACACATTGAGGACGCACACTACTGACACACATCGAGGACGCATATATAGGACGCACATCGAGAACGCACACCAGGGTCTCACACCCAGATTCCACATTGAGGACACACATCCAGGAAGCACATCGAGAAAGCATATTTAGGGCGCACATTGAAACCTCAAATTTAGGACACACATTTATGACGCCCATTGAGGATGCAAGTATGTTGACGTATCACGAGGACGCACACTTAAAATGCAAATCGAAAACGCATATTTAGGATAAATACTATGGACATTCGACGCACACTATAAGGACGTAAACTTAGGAAACACATCGAGGAAACACATCAATGAAGTGCATTCAAGACACACATTGAGGACGTACATCGAGGACCTTCAGTCAAGACGCTTATTGAGGACTCACATGGAGTCCGCACATCGAGGACTTAGATCCAGGTCACACATCGGACTTAGATCCAGGTCGCACATCGAGGACGCTCATCAAGGAAACACATTCAGAACCCAAATTGAGGACGGATATTCAGAATGCACATTGAGGAGGCATATCGAGGACGCATATTCAGGACACACACTGAGAACGCACACTAAAGACACACATAGAGGACGCACGTTCAGGACGCAAGGTGAGGACGCATCATGAACGCGTTATTGAGGACGCTAAAAAGATACAACTTAAACTTGTTAAATTTTGATGTTTATATAAATGACTCTGTTGTATGTATGTAAGGGGTATCTATTTGATTGCTCCTGACCTATAGGATCAACAAGGGATAATCTTAATACTACCAGACTTACAAGATTCATGATATATGAAAATAGAAACGATATTAAGGAGCCTAGCTAGCAACAGCTATTGCCCAATAATTAAAAAGCTTACCTCCCAACGTAATTTTCCCAAATATAAGCCTACCTCCCAACATGCATTTCCCAAATATAAGCCTACCTCCCAACATGCATTTTCCAAATATAAGTCTACCTCCCAACATGCATTTCCCAAATATAAGCCTACCTCCCAACATGCATTTCCCAAATATAAGCCTACCTCCCAACATGCATTTCCCAAATCCGCAATCTTGACCTCTAGGCCAGGACAAGGCTTATTTACAGGATCCTAAAAATAATAAATAAAAATAAATAAAAAAACAGAAATAATGAAAAAATAATAATTACAAAAGAATGAATGGTAAAACTAAAAAGAAAGCTTATAACTAATTCTCTAATCTTTATATTTATGATTTATCAAATACAGACTATAGAGGCGTATACAGGGGTAGCCCCCCATTCTTCTAGTAAAGGGACAGCTATGAATTCAGGGGGGTTCACCCCCAAACGACTCACGAGCCAGCCCCTTGGAAAGATAAGCACTGTAAAGCCTATACAATTTCTTATATATACGCCCCTGTCATAAAAGGTTTATGCTATTGGGAAAAATATTTGAGGTATCACAAATTAAAGGGACTGTAAAGGTAATTTCAATGCCCGATTCACAACGGTACCCTTGAAACCTTAATCTGATCAATAATGTGGAAGATAAAGTCATTTTTATAGTGTTTGATAGTGTTTAATTCTGATAATTGTTTTCCTGGATAAGAAATGCGCAAGTCACTTTTGTGGGGGATCCACAGTTGGAAAAAATTCAATTTTTAAAATTAAACATTGGATTCTAATTCATACTTGATCAGAGGCTTAAATCCGCCAAAACCCCGTTTAAATTAAGCACCGGCTTAAATCTTGTTACATTTAATACAATTTTAAGTGGAACCAACCATATTTAAGCGGAGGCTTAAATTTAAGCCGCCACTCAAATTCTTTAAATTCGGCCTCTGATCAGGCAAAGTTTTTAAAGAGTATCGTTGTGAATCGGGCATTACCATCTTTGCATTGAGGATCACTTGAAATTACGATCCCTTAAATTTGGACATAAAAATAAAGCTGTATCTTCATATTCTACATATTTTATAGTTCTGATTAGTTCGGAAGTGAATACCGTATACATGATTAATAAAAAAATAATTTAAAACTAATTCCCATCAGAAGTTGTTGAATACTTCGTTGAAATATGTTTAGCAAAGATCCATTCGTTAAAACTAATTTATTTAACAAACCTCTGCAATTTTAATGAACAAATCAACGAACGAAATACTTCACTATATTTCTGATGCATAAAAGGCGTTTGGTCAACCACATTATAGTGGGTAGTCACTAGACGGGCATCCTTATACCGGTTTGAATCATGCAACACTTGAACCAATGTTAATTCTTTTCTTAGTTTGACCATACTTTAAATCACTATCTATTTATTTATCTTTCTTCTCGACCGGAAACTTTAAGTCTCTGTTTGTATTTTCTTTACAAATTCTTTGTTTAGTTTCTTCTCTCTCTTTACCTGAACTTGCTTAGTTTCTAGTCTCTCTTTACCTGAACTTGTTTAGTTTCTAGTCTCTGCTCCAGTATTTTATCATGAACACTAGCAGCAGCAGAAGCAACAGAATCAAGAACAGTACTGGCGTCAAAAGTCTGACGATCATCATCATCATCATCATCATCATCAGCTTCTTCTTCTGAAAAATAGTTTTTGACTTGACATTTACTGATAAATGTGGAATCAAAAGATTGAAAACAATTCCTATTTTATCGCAAATCAAATATATGAATAAAAGAAAGCGAAAAAATATGGTCTTTAAAAATAAACAGTACCGTTAAAACCTTTATCTGATCAATGATACGGAAGATATCGTTTTTTTAGCTTGAAAATTGTTTAATTATGACAATTTCCTCCGTTGTCGGTATAGCAAAATTATTCAAATCGCTTTTTGCAAAAAAATCACAATTGAAAGTAATTAAGTTTCATAAAAAAGAATAGATTTCTTATTCTTGATTTATCAGACGAAGCTTTGAAAAGTACTTTTCTAATTGGACGTACATATGAGCTAATTTAAATAGAAAGTGCCTTTCATGAGGGTTTCCTGCTTCTTTCTCTGATGCATAGAGTGGGTTTCTCAATATATAATGTATTGTATTCCAGTTCGTAGAGTTGACAATAAAATATAAGTTTACTAGTCTATGCAATAAATCCAAATAAATCCCATAAAGTAAGATAAAACTGAGTATGAAAAAAAAACATTTCATATTTCTGCACAGCTCTTTCGTGGACACCGTTCATTTTACACATTTAGAATAATGATCATTTTTTATTCTGCTCCTAATAATTGTTTTATGTACTGTGATTATCATCCTCCCCCAAACTTTGCAATTATGACATACTTCGAATTAAAATGTAAAACATAATTTGAAGTGATCCTCCAGGCAAAGATGGCAATGCCTGAATTAAAATCCTTTAATAACTTTTCACAAAGAGTTTTACAAATGCATTAAAGCAAGTGTGGACGTAGTTTCAATTAAGCATTTAAAGATTATTTATTAATTAAATTCATCTAACACCAAGAAAAATAACTTCCCATCCTTTCACATAATTTTTGGGACCACTGCACTGTATAATTATAGAAATGATAAAACCTTTCTCCTAAAGTATTAAATATAAATGGTAATTTTCTACAGAGTGAATTTGGAAATTAAACCTTCATATTTAACCAATTTATATCCACTCTAGATATTAATGGGACTTATAACCAATTCAAATCCACTCTAGATATTAATGAGACTTTTCTAAAATTAAAACTGAATTTTTAAAGTATTACCTTTGTGAGTTGAACCTTGCAAAATGAACGTTTCCTGAAACAGAATTAGATATTATTTATTTTTCAATTTCAAATATTTGTCCATTAGTAAAATGCAAAGATGCATTGAACATTTAAGTCTTTTGCCAGGATTTAAGGAAGAAACCGTTTTGACAAATGTTCAGATTTTATCAAAATGTACAAATTTTTCAAAAAAATTTTTGTCACAAACTTTACTTTTCTAATCTCTTTATCTTTGCTACCCAATGTCGTAGACCTTTGATATTTCAAAATATGAATTCTTTTAGACCAAATAATCCAAGTTTGTAAATCAGATTGTAAAGATATAGGGATTAGACAATTTTAGTTTGTGACAAAAACTCAGTTCCTTTGTCATTTTAAAACGGTTGAGCAAAATCGAAAAAATATTCTGACGATAATTTCTTTCTGTTTCTTTCAAACTATATTTATATATTAAACTGCAGAGATGAGAATTAAGGGATCCAAAGATTTAGTTTCATAATCAGAAGGATATCCACCCCCCCCTCC